ACAATTTCTTCTAAGAACAGAAAAATCAGCATTAGAAAGAAAAGATGAAAAAGAAAAAGACTTACAATCTTAATACTATTGAGAGAGAGAGTGATTCTCTGATATAAATAAATGATTATCTTATTATAAATATTTAAAATGAATATAATAATCAGTGTCTGTGACTGAGCTTCAGATAGTTATATTATACACAGTCTTTATATAATAAATTATTCTAGAAGTTGATAAGAAAGACAGAAGTGTACATACTGATAAATATGATTTATTAAGTCTATGCAACATCTTCTTGAAATGAGAAGAGCTGATAATGAAAGCAGAGACAGTAAAATCAGAGAGAGCAGAAGTAGTGAGAGTGAGAATCACAGAAACAGAGATAGCAGAAGCAGGAGAATCAGATACAAAGATAGGTGTAGAAGATTAAGAGAGAGTGACAGAGAAAGAAACAGTAGCAGAAGAGGTAGAGAAGAACATAGAAGACTCAGTCATACATAGTATAAGCAATTTCTTCATTATTACATTCTTCAAGTTCTCAATCAATGATTCAATATTGAGTTCACTATCATTGATAAACACAGATCTGTCAACATATGAAGATTCTATATAAATAAAAACAAACATCAGCATCTGTGTCTATGTAAAATTGTGTCAGAAAACATGATCAGAAGCTGCTGAGAAGAAAAACAGTCAAGAGTGTATAAGAAGATAAAGAAGATATGTCATTCATGATAATACATTCTGATGATTGTTAGAAGATAAACAAGTTCAGTCACATTTCACAATGTATTACACTTACTGCTAATGAACTGCTCAGTATGAGTACTACAATGACACTTGTTATGAGAATAAGAGATCATTATCAGAAATGTGTATAATATAATAGATAAACAGATAGAAGATGTTAAACAGAAGAAGAGACAGTAATCTTGAATAAGATGATAATATTTGATAATGATGATGATGAAGAAGATGATTGAAGAATGAGAAAAGTTAGTGAATGAGTGATATAATATAGTGAAAGTTTCTTTGTGAGAGTGTACATAAGATGCTAGCTGAATCAGAAATAGATTATATGATTGTGAACACTAGTGACGCGCTAATCTGCATGAAACTAGGACAGATATCATGATCGCATGAGTGTGACTGAATCTGGTGAAGAAGAATGTAATTTGAAAGAATGTATGACTGTTGAATAATAACATGGCCGCTTCTGAACTTGCTTATAAATGTAAAGAGGTCATAGCGGCCACTAATTAATTTAGTGTATGATATATAAGAAGCCGGCGTACGCCTGTAATCGTACACTGAGGAGAGCAACCTTTGAATCACATAAAGAGAATAGAAGCTGCAGTGAAAGAGTTGCTAATATGTATAAATCTCTTATTTAACAGATTATTGAGTATTCTCTGAAGAAGAAGAAGTTCATGTTAAAACATATTGTAAAGAGAGTCTTATAATAACTTGAGATTCTTATCATTCTTCTTTTCTAATTTGATACTATGATTCACTTCTGAGTCTTATAAGAGAGATATATTAATAATATTATCTTGTCAGAAGATATCTAGATATTCATGATATTACTAAAAGAGTTTTGTATGAGAATCTATTATTGTAGTATAGAATAACTTCTCTAGAGCTTTCTTGATATTGATCAGACTGATGAAATAGATTGCTATATAATTCTGCTATTAATGACTTTATCAGCAGTCTTATTAATAACTTCTTTTTCAGAGTATTTTATAAGTATTGACAGAGATCTGTGTAAGATTCATAGTCTTATAAATATCATCTTTATGAATTCTATCATTGTTAGAAAATATTAAGCTTCTGTTTTAAGCATTTAATAAGATATCTTATTCAGATAGTCAGACAAGTTCTAGCATAAGATTATAGTCAAGATTATTAACTTTATATGCATAAGTATCTTCATATTGATATTCTCTGATATTTATGTTTAGTTTCATCATATAACAGATGTGAATGTCTTTTAAATCATCAAATTCTGCAAGAAGTTGAGATTTTAACAAGAGAATATACTGAAGATTATAACATCTTATGACTGAAGATTTAATCATTGCATAGTGACATAGACCGCTGTCTATTATGACTTTCATATTATACATGTTATTGATCACAGTAGATACAAGAATTGTATTTATTATTATTTTCTCTTTAAATTGTTATTGTCTGATCTCTTCAAACTTCTGTTTATAAATTTGAACAGAAGTTAATCTTTTCTCTGTTTTATTAGAGTATTCTCATAGTTATCTTCTGAATTCTTCTTCAGTGTAATATGATTGAGATGAACTGCTGAAGTTAATCTTTCTTTTGAATAAGAAGATACATAGACTGATCAGCAGTTGAAAGTGATATATTCTGATCAGTTATAATTAATGTATATCTCTTATTAATATTGATCAGTGACTTCTTCAGAAGTGATCTCAGAAACTCAGAAGTCTGTTCAGGTAATGAAAATTCTTGCTTATGTATAGACATTTAAGTTCACTCAATTTATAACATCTACATTGTCATTCTTTAGTGTAGATGTATAAGTGACTGAGATGTAGCATCTTCTATCACTGTTCTGTATACTCTTGAGCTTGATCAGTTGATTATTAAATGTCTGAAGTTATATGCAGAAGTCTTTATAAGTTAAGTCTTCATTTATACTTACAAGAGTCTGTAAGAGTTCAAAAGTTAATACTTTCTTAAGTATACTAATCTTCATTCAATTCTCTCAAGATTGATCACCTGCTTCTAGAATCTTAATATTAAAATCAGAAATAAATGTTCTGAGAGAAGTATTTCTCTATCAGATACTCTGTAATCAATCTAATATCTTCTATTACATAGCAGTGTCTTAGAACAGAATATTGAGATGTTTAATAATATTATCAGATATATGTAATGCTGATTCACATGTCTTTATTTATGAATAAAACTTCTGTCTCATGTGATTCTTTAATTAATCATTGATATATTAATCTTGATTAGTTAACAGACTAATGACATCTTCATCTACACTTAGTTTTATAAGCATTTTCAATCTTTATGATGAATAGAGAGTGAGATCAGAAGTATTAAAATATGTAAGAGTATCTAGATATTTCTTCAATACTTATATCATATTTATATCTGATTCAGTCAGTGTTTAAATTACTTATACAGAGATTTCTAGTTGAAATAATTATTGAATTTTCTCATATTGATGTTATTGAGTTACATGCATATTAGCTATCTATTACTGTTGTAATTTCAACATTACTTAAAGTCACTGTAGTACTGTATCTATACTTATACTTAAGAGTTCTCTTATATTATCAGTAGATATAGCTGTATTATTCATTGAATATGTGATATCTGTGAAATCAGAAAAAATGTAATTATATAAATATCTCATATATCTAAGATGTCAGAACTCTCAGGTTTTTCACTGATATTCTCTTATAAGATCTTTATTCTCTTCATAAGATATTATTGCAGAGTCAGAGTGACTGATAAGTAAGCTTCTATTTAGAGACTCAGTATCTGCTTAACTGTTTAATTATTACTCTATTTCTTACACATTATTACATATTCAGATATCTTAATAGATAATTATTTCTAATAAGAAGATAATAAACATTTTTCAAGTATAAGAGATCTATGCTGAATAGATCAGTATAATATATAGATCTTATAATACAAAAGTGAAAAACATTAGAGAAGAAAAAAAGAGAAAGTACAGAAATCAGTGATCAGAGTAAATATTTATATATATACATATTAAAGCTTCAGAGTGAAAGAATAGAAATTCTGTGAGTTTTTCAGCTAAGAATTAGTGACTGAGAATTGAAGCTTTCAGCGAAATCTATAAAGTGTAATGAAATAGTCTATATAATTGATCAGACGCAGCCCGTCATATTTAAATATTAATATTTTAATAAATATTCATTATTTTAATTATTTAATTTGTAATTTATAACTATAAAAACTTGTAATATAATATAATTCAAAATTATTATAATGTAGTTAAAATTGATTAAAATATAAATTAAATTATAAAATAAAATACAGTAAAATAAAATATATAATATTTTATTATAAATTAAGAAATATGTATTATATATTATTAAAACTAATAATTATTATATAAATATATTATAATTTAATAAATATTAAATTATTTTATAGAAGAATTTTATATTTTAATTTTTAAGAATTTTTTTATTTTTTTATTATAATTCTTTTTATAAATTATAAATAAATTATTAAAAATTCTTGAAATTTTAATCTTTAAAAAATAATTTATTAAATATAAATATATTTAAATAATTTAATATAGTAATTTATTTAAATTATAATTTTAAAGTATAAATAATACACAGTTATTATAAAAATAATATTTTAAAATATAAAAATTTATATAAAAATTTAAATAAATAAATAATAAATAAGAATTTCAAAATAAAAGTTTACATTTTATTAAAAATATATATAATCTATAAGATATTTAATTGTTATATAAAAATAGTTTACATTTATAAATATATTTATAAATATAAACTTCATATAACGATGTGACGGTTGGCCGGAGGCTGCAAATGGCTGTTTTCGCCGCTGCTTTCGGCCTCCCGCTAACCGCCCAACCTCGATCATCACGTGAATCTATCCTCACAGCCGCGACCCTTCCCTCCACGCGTGGCCACAATTTTAGAAGTGCATTTTCATGGCTTTCAGTCACTCTCACTCATTCTTGCTCACTCACTGCCCTTCCTTTGAAAGGGGAGGGGAGCCGTTTTTGACACTTCACTCTGTCAGATTTGGCTCCCTTCTCAGATCATGAATCATGTTGTTCTCTCTGCCTCCAGTTCTCATCACTCTCACCATGCTGCCTGCAGCTCTCTTCTCTCTCCTTCTTCACAGCACTACTGGGCCAGTTCTATTCAGGAAAGCATCTAAGTCTTTCATTACTTGTTCCTGTCTCTCTCTCCTGTCAGCTCTCTTCTTGGGCTGTCCTGATCATGGCACCTGTCTCTTGTTTGGCCGGGCCTGACAAGCAAAGCAGAAGCAAGACAGATGTCAGGTCTGCTCTGAATACCCTCTCCGCGCTGGATGCCATCTTTTCAGACAGTGAGTATGAAAGTGGCTCTGTCAGTGACAATGAAGATGACAACAACAGCCAGCTCACCTCTGAACACTACCTGGCCTTAGCAGAGAGTCTTGATATCACTCAGCTTTGACAGAAGCAGTACAGCCCCAGAACTCAGGAAAAACTCAATGAGACCTGTGGTTACTGGAAGAGGTAGGCAGTGGCTCATTTGACTCTCAGACTGTGTTATAAACTCATCAGTGGCACTGGGCAGGTATTGTCAGCATATCAAGGCAAACGCGGAGCAGCAATGAAATCAGATCTCTAATTCAGAGGAGACAGTTCACTTTCTGTATGCATTCTTTAGCTGGTGGTGTGATATTCATCATGGCAAGAACAATCAATACTGTCCGGGCATTAAGCGCAAAAGCTCACTGAAGACATTTTGAAAGTGGTGGCATCTTGTTCTTAAACAGGAAACAGCATCAGGACTCAGCAAAGATACAATTGTCAAGGTGGAGAATGTGAGCACCTTACTCTCTCTCCTCAGATCACTTAATCAGAAGCACTACTAATCTCTTGCAGGTTGTTGCACAGATGGCCACAGAAAAAGAGCTGGCTCTTGTTGAATGGCCAAAGAAGAACATGTATATTGAAGATGTTGCTGAGTTCGCTCAAGTCATTCTCATCATCACTGAGATGACATTTGTCTGTGGTTGGCAGCACATTCAAATGCTTCTCTTCTTGCAGCTTGCTGCCATCACTGCCAGCCGTCCCTTGGCAATCCTCCATCTTTGGTATCAAGATGTCATGTTAACCCTGATTCGAGTTTCAGACAGCGGACGCCCCCGATTGTTCATATTCTTAAAACCAGAATTTACTAAAAGATTTCTCAGAGATAAGGCACTGTATGTGTTTCTGATCCTCGCGGCATGGCCTGGTTGACTGACAGAATTGATAGGAACGAGTTTAAGATTTCAGAAATCATCTTTGATTCAACCCTGGTTCTCAGCCTGCATATCTGCCTGCTGACTCTGCTCTTTCACATTGGAGGATTCAAGTCAATTTCAACAAGTGAACCAGTGTTGGATTGCGCAGAGAAACTCTACAGCATCAAAGTGCTGAATGGCAAGGGACAGCAGCTGCTACTACTAAAGAATGAATTACTGAATAAGTTTGTGTTTTGCCAGACAGAGTCAACATTCACCGGATTTAAAATTTGCTTTGAATCAGAGGATGACTCCATTCATGATGAGTTCTCAGATGCGCTGAGCTGGTGAGATCATGGGCTTTGAGAAGGTCATTCACTCATACAATCTCTGATATGCTGGAGCTAAGGCATTTAACAACAGCAGTAAGTAGCCCTTCATTTTCTTCATGTTGCAGTCATGTCAGAGGGCTAACAATGAACAGAGGAAGTTACAGAAGCTCTTCAGAATGTCATGCTTCAGCACGCGGATATTCGCACCTTCATCAAGCATTATCAGGTGGACATTAATGTTGACACACAGGGAATAGTCTGGAAAACAGGCTCTCAAACAGCATTGGTGCAATTTGCCTGCTCAATGAGTGCATTCATTGATCTCAACTGACTGTATAAGCTCTCTTCAGAAGAATCACAGTTCCTCAATTACCTTTCAGTTGTTCATAGCTGTCAGGATACTGTCCAGAAGCACAAGCAGGAATGAGAGAATTGTGAAGCTGAGTTAGAACATGTCAACAGAGTATGCAAGACTTCTCTAGAGCACCTTGACAACAGAGTACTCACTGAGTCCAACCCTGAGGTGCTGGAGAGACTGGAAGTTTTCCATGATCAGACAGCAGAAGCAAAGTCAGAGTATAACAAGGCTATCTGTGAGTTGTGCAATGAGAAGCAGCAGCAGCGGAACTGACAGATCTGTGAGAACCTTGAGCACTATAAGAATGAGCAGCCTGTGATTGACCTTGAGTGACAACTGGTCAGGAAGCTGGTGAATACCAAAGTCATGAACACTTTCAAGCATGAAGCCTTCATGCCTCCTGAGCACTTAATGTTTGTTGACTGTGTGCTGACCATGCCAGGTGCTAATCTTGAAGCAGAATATCAGTGGAGGATCAACACAATCAACACAGAAGTTGCATTCTGTGGCATGGAGAAAGGGCGGCCCTCGCACTGGCTCACACAGACCCGTGGCCAGCCCACAGTTGATGATGACCCTTGTCCTCCGACCAAGTGGCAGAGGTGCTCAGTGAAGAATAACACTGAGGTCCTCTTGCACCAAGCAATGGAGTCTGTGCAGGCCAAGTCTACAGCTGAACAGCCTCAGACCTGCTTTCAGCCTCGCGTTTGCTTTCTCTGTGTTGGGAATCCTAGTTGCGCGCTGGAGGACCGCATTATGAAATACACAACATCCAGATCACTTACAAGGCACTTTCTACAAAGACATATCAACCCTCCATGGCCGGCCACTGGGGTTGAGTGCAATGTTTGTGAGGGGAAGGTGCTCCCGGCCAAATCTACTCTTCTAAGTCATGCAGAGGAGGCCCATGGAACTGTTGTGCGGGGTCGCGCTCGGGAGAAACTGGTGTTGGAATATCAACAGAGCCTAGAGAACTAGTTTTGTACAATAGAGATATATATATATAATAAAAGGAGTTGCGGTTCTCACAAATCATGTCCAGCCTCACTCTTACTCAAATGCATGCTATATCAAAACACAAACAAAAAGCAAGTCACGCTACAATACGCTATCAACATGCCCGCTGGGAGCTTACTTCCCTCCATGTTGATGGTTGCCGCTTCGAGACCCTGACGGGATGCAACCTTCAAGAGTAATGTCTGCGCCTGCGACTTTTATATCTATTTTTCTTTGTTCTTCAAGGAAAAAAAAGTCAGACATTCCCCTGAGTCTTGTTCGCTTTCTTGAAATCTGCACGTAAACCCGAGACTTCTCTCTATGAGTGCCGCGAGATTCTGTCCTCCATTGCCTGCTTCTGCTGCTGCACCCATGAGGGGTAAAACGTCTAGCTTGAGTTCTTATTCTACTTCTGATACTAGCTGGGCAGATGTATGTTTCAAATCACCCCACCCCCGCAGAACCTACTCTCATTTTGTTTTTAGAGCATTTTTGCTACGATGTTAACTATATGGTTTATGGTGCATATAGGGGCTTCGCGGCATCGCTTCGATATTCGTGGTTTCGAGCCATATCACTCTATGCTTTGCACGGGGTATTGTGCCCCCGTCAAAAGGGCAAGATGGCCCGTCCACGCTGTTCCAACGTCCGTTCTTTCGGCTGATAGGCCAGGGCAATGCATTCGTCGCGATATTCTTCGTCCTCCTTGGATTTTGTAACTCCCTAAGGGCCATCCAACTTTCTCGGGCCGGCACTGTCTCAGACGCACTCTCTACACTTTCTAGAAGCTCTCTTCGTAGGATTTGCAGGCTGGTAACCCCAGCTGCAGTTGTTACTGTCATATCATGGTCTCTGTGCCAGCTGAACTTTTTTTATTTGGCTCAAAGGTCGGATGCCTTTTGGTTGCAAAGCACAACTCCAAAGCCAAGTGATGCAATTCAGACGTCCCTGACCCATTCTCCCATCCATCTCAATAGAGCCACTCAATAAAGAAACTGAAGGTAGCGGGTTGAACATCCTCAAGTTTCACTTTCTGCTCTTGGCCTTCAGTAAAACGATCCCGTTTCAAAGCAGCTTTGAAATAGGAGGAGGCTTTAACTAAAAGGCGTGAGTGTAAGTGGAAGGTTCGGGCTGAGTCAGAGGGACCGACGATGACGGGAACAATTGGTGATGATAGATATCTACACGAGTGACGATGAGCTTTAATTGTTTGATGCCAGAACATGTAGAACGTCGTTCTCACTCTGAAATCTTTTCCTCATCGGGATCATCGAGGGCCGGGGAACTGGTCGGCGCCAAAGAATCCTCCGTGTTGGGGGGTGGCATTATGTAGCGGTAGCTGTAACAATTAACTGGCGTTGGGTGAGAATGAACAAGAATAGAAGGGAAAGGTTGTGTGGAAGTGGTGGTTATTCGCATTTACTCCATTAATAGGAGAATTCTCGACATGTAGTGGGTCATATCTTGGGTCTCGGTTTACGAAACTGCTCGGAACATACGCGGGCGGATGATGGAAGGCATCGACACCACTTCCTGCCTGGGGAGAACGATGAAATGAATTCATGTCTATGGCAGTAGCTGAAGTAGCGGGGGGGATTGAGAGTGAGCTTAGTAAATTAAGTGTCAATTTCCAGTGGCAGGGTTCGGGGAACAGATAACAGAAAACCCATCAAAATTTGAAGTTTTCAGCTGAACTTGAGATGGTCTGATATCTGAATCTGTCTCAATATAGATCCAGAGTGGACTCAGAGAATTTCCTAGTTGGCTCATGTGCTTTTGAGGTATGGAGTAGGGTGACGAATTCATCGACGTGAAAGAAAATACCGATCTACAGGCTTCTGCGAAAGAAGATTGGGATGTTGCTAATTTTGAGTGTTTGGATGGAAGAGATTTGGAGCGCACTTTGCATGTTTTTTCCAGAAGGGAGAGCGGCACTGAGAGCCAGAAACACATATTGGCCAGCATGGAGAAAAGAAAGCAAACTGCAATTAGCCGCCCGGGATACTCTCAAGGTTGACTAGTTAGTAGTCTTCAATCCGGAGAAGAATATAACTGGTCACACCATTCATATCATGTTGGCAAGAGTTGGGGTGTTGGGGGCAAGGGCCACGCAGTTCCAGGACGCGCCCTGAATATTAAGCTTCACATCTTCCAATCAAGGGATTGATGGATAAGATTGTGGGAAATACCCAGTTTCATACAAACTCTAAGAGGCAATTTCTCGAGTGATAGGCTCCAAAGGGCAGAAATGGGGCCGGGATTTGAGCAGACCCTCATCCTGCAAGGCCAAAAGCATCGTCCAGTCGGAAAATAGAATTGTCAATTTATTATCGAATGGGTGTCTGTGCTGCATTCTGTGGGGTTGGACAGGGGAGTCGTTTTTAATTTTAGTTGGCGGGTAGGACGCGGCGCTTAAGAAGAGATTACAGCTAACGTGCAGGCGCTAAGTTAACTAAGTTTCTCTGAAAGTTCCCAGTGGACACCGCGTGGAGGTGGGAGCTCGTCGTCCGCCTATCTGCCCGTCATTTCTACGGCCGTTGTAAGGAATCACAGGCTTAATCAGATGAGAAGCAATGAATTATTATTGAACTATCTGACAGTAAGGGGTGGTTCCAGTAACAAGATGTAGGGCAAAGAAAGAAACACTAAAAGCTCAAAAATCAAAGAAAAAGAAGTTCGCCATAAAACCAGGCGGCCAGAGAAAGAAGCAAAATAGAAATGTCCCTGGCAACCTTACCCACAGAGCTCCTGCTCACCATCGCTTCCTACCTCATCGAGCCCTCCGACCTCCTCACCCTTCTCCTCCAAAACCGCTACATCTACTCCGTCCTCCACTCAACCCTCTACACCAACGGCATCCGCCGCCACGGCTGCTCGGCCCTCAGGTGGGCCGCCACGCACAGCCGCGTTGTGACGGCGGAGCATTCACTCAAGCGCTGGGCGCATAAGATCCTCAGCGCCTCTTATCGCAAGGACGAGAATGTGGTAATGGGCGGGGCCTTTTGGGGATCTAGGGGAGGCATATATACTTTTCTCTGGGGCTAGACAAAATAGACAAACGGAAATGGTTCGAAGAAAAACCAAAGTGAGAGGCAAAGAAATGAGGGGCGTTCCACTCTGCATGGAATTTTTTGACCAGCTCCTAGCAGCCCGGGATCAGATCGCTCCGCGGTTGCCACATAGGCCGCCATGCGACACGGTACACTCTTATTCCAATGCAGAGAAATTGGCTAGGTGCAGTAGTAGACATAAGTTTTGAGTGCAGCCACCTTCTCATCTTCAAGCAATCAGCATCAATGCACGCCATACAGAGTTTTAGCAATATGAAGTGCTATTTTCGTTCATCACTTTAGAGCTGATATTCTGTTTACGGTGTAAAACGCGGAAAGACAGTTCGGGTGCCACTGTAGAAGCACGCAGAAGTGTTAAATTTTCTTGATGATACCGCTCTAATGTTATGAACTGCCTATGTTTTCAGAGTTGCTCTATAATTCTCTCTATGTTTGCTGTGTGAAACTTCATTCATCTTCACTCTAGAAATATGAGACTCTACTACATATGTGAAAGGCTGGCAAACGAGGAGATAGCTATAGAAGTACAGGAATCCTTGGCGACAGGAGGACATCAAAATAGCCAGTAAGAGACACCACCCCATCGAGCGTGCGAAACCAGGTCAAATGAAATACTAACGGACAGTCGAAACATAACCCATATGGAGATTCTCCCAAACTTGCCAACTATGCCAACCCTTCCTGCTTGCCCTTAACACTGGCCTTGTTAGCGGCATAAGTCGCGTCGCCGCCATCGATGATTCCTTCCGCCTCTAAATCGTCCAAAAGCTCGAGCACATAGTCTTGACAGTTATAACCCGCGAATTCATTGTGGATAACTGCGTTCTTTGCAGTGTCCTTGATAGCTTCAACTTTGAAAGCGGGCACGTCGCAAAGGTAAACCAGTTCCGCGAGGCTTTTTGATTCGCGGGCGTTTGAGTTTCGCATTTCGAAACGGTATCGAGTCGAAGAACCCATGGCGTGGAGTATGATCTTTTCGGAATCGGTGGCTCCCTCAACGAAGAGGCTCCAGTGCTTATATACACCGCTGTGGTAGATGGCAACATGGAGCTTGACAGTTGGAGGCATACTGAAAATCGCCGAGAAGTACCGCGAAAAGTTTTCAAGATGGTGTATCTGTAGGAGTGAGGCTGCGGGGAGTCCAGTCGACCGCTGGCTGGATACGAGGGGGTTGGAGGGAGAGTAAGAACCTAGCACGAGACAGGAAAGCCTTGGACGAATCTGGCACGTTGACTGTGAAGAGAGGATAAATTGAGCGAGGATGCAAATCAGAAGTCTGAGATGGAAAACAGCCGAGGGTTAAGGCTAATGGGGACATGTATCGATGGAGCGGTAGAGATATAAAGAGATTTAAGGGGAATTTTTCTTGTGAATCAAGATAATGGATGGAGGGAGTAAAAGCTGGGGATTGCGATGATTTTATATACAACTCCAAGCCGGACCCTTCTTATGTATGCCCACAGGAAAAGGTGCTTGGATAAACTGAGTGGTGTTTGGGATATTACCGTTCACAGCGGGATGATGAAAGGAAGATTGCTTCTGGCTATTCGGGAATTTGAATTGCTTTCAGACAAACTTTGCAGCAATAAACAGCGAATCATATGTGTCTTGTTGGGTGGCATCTCTGTAAATGAGGTTTCAGAACATGCATATAAGTGTTGGTCATGTTCTATGTATAAATAATTTGCTGATCCGTGACGCATGAATGAACTTGAAAGCATGCCTCAAAGTAAATTGAGCAGTATTAACCAATGACATTCCTGTGATTTGTAGGAGGACTAAGATCATGAAAAGAGTAATTGGTTGGTTTGAACTAGAGAGCTAAGTGGGCGATGAAAAATCCCGTAGGCGCCCCGCAGGGGATCCAAGATGATTGAATAACTTCGGAGCCTGGCGGCTAGCATAGGAGAGTATCGGTTGTTTGGGAGGGCGAAGTGAAGCCCTGGAATGCATATGAACCGATGTGCAAACAAAGAGAAGCGGCGTGTATGCATGAATGAACTTGAAACGATGGCTTCATGAAAAATGGTTTGAGTAGTGGCCACTAAGGTATTCCCTTTGTAAAAATAGCCTGAAACGCAGCAGCTAAAGGTTCCCTGTCATTTAAGTCGCGTTTGGTTGAACAGACCGCTGCTTATATATTAACTAGGTCACAGGTTCGAGCAACTCAGGCGCCTCAACTTCCGAACTCTGAACGCCATCAATTTGGTAGTCGACCAAGCGAAGGTATCCCGCCATCTTCTTAACGTGTAGGTAGGATAACGCTCCAATCGTGACAGCCCTGCTTCCAACATCTCAACCCCTGAGATGTCGAACGCATGAATGGTGCGAGTGAGAGTCGAAGCCATTTCTTTCGAAATGCTTTCCGGCGACTGGATGAAAATAGACAGATCCTTTAAATAACAGTGAGAGTTCAGATTTGCTGAAACAGTGGGCTGGAAGCTGGCGGTTACAGGCAAGCCAAATACCAACCAGCTTTTAGTATTCGCCCGCTTTTCAGATCCCTAGCACCTATAATAGTGAGCTTTTGTTGAATGCGCGCGCTTAAGTTTCAGATCGTAATAATATACTCTTGATGTTGGGCTGAATTTCATGCGAATAATATTACAGGGCTTAATACCGAATAGTTGGATATCATTAAGGAGCTACTAGGTGGGCGGTATACGCGATGTTATGGTCACGTGCCGGCAGAGCTAGGCGGCCCGCAGGAAGCAAACATATCTGAATAATTAAAAAAACGCGCTTTACCACAAAACTCTCTGTAATATATAGTTATGAAGCGCGCTAATTGGTCCAAAAACCTCCAGGCGATGGGAATTCCACGCGTTGCTCGAGTCCGTTGTACCATGTCCTTTTTAACTCCGTATTCTTCGAAGACGCGTAAACGCAGGCAAACAAATCCCAAACAAATTATTTACACGGTAAAACCACTGGAATCCCAGCAGAATCTCGGTGCTTGCCATCCTTTCACAATCGTCCTTTGAAGAATTCTCTTATCCTCATAAGCCAGCTTTTGTGTCAGCAATTATGGATGAGGCTGCGGCTGCACGGGGCCTCTCGCTCACACACCCCAACGCAGCACAATGGAACCACGAACTTATGCTTGAATTCCAAGCAGCACTCGAAAAAGATCCAGCGGCGGACCTGATGTCAATTATCTCTGATTCATATAGACGAGAACATCGAAAAGCTCAGTATTGCGAGCTCTCTTATGCAGCAAAAATTAATCTCAGAACAGTCGATGAGCTCGGCGATCAACTCAAGCACAAGCCAGAAGTCAACTTGCTGGATGTGTTTCCAAAGAATTATGTTCGCAGGATTAAAATGGCGACTGCCGGCCGTACAGCGCCGTCTGCGGAGGATACTGAAAAACCGAGTCCTCCGGAGTTCCGCACACGTCTTGATCTCGCTGACTCCGCCACGGTTGTCTTTCCATTGTCTGAGACAGTTACCGCTCTTCTTGCGAGGTATTCACACCCAGAGGAACCAGATGGTGCAGAGCAAGCACTGATTTCCTTCCTCAAACAACTGCTTTGGGACTCGCCCAAACTCTGGGAAAGCTCCATCAGAGGCGTGGTCGTCAAGTGCAATGAGGAAGTCGTTGCCAAAGTGATTACAAGTGATACCAATGACACCACAGAGTACACGGCCATGCAGTACCTCGCAGAACGCGCGCCCGACATCCCAGCCCCCAAACCCCACGGCCTAATCAGATTCGGACCCTTTCGCGTTATCTTCATGTCATATATTCCGGACATGACATTGGCGCAAGTCTGGTCCAGCCTATCACCCAAGGAGAAAGTCTCAATACAACAACAGCTAGATGATATTTTCCGTAGATTGAGGACCCTTCGCCAGGAGGATGGCAATGCACTTGGAGGTGTCAGTGGAGAAGGAGTGAAAGAGTACCGTGTCGATGAATGCGCCCGCTGGAAAGATATTACCACAGCCAGAGAGTTTAGCGACCTACAATTCTCCGCGTGCCACCATGGCAGCAAGACATATATCAAATTCCTCCGCTCTTTCCTCGAAGATGAGAGTGCTACCATGCGCGGATCCGTGTTTACCCACGGTGATGTCAGGAGGGAGAACATTATGGTGAAGCAGGATCCATATAATAACAACGCCTACGTGGTCACTGGTATTATCGACTGGGAAGATAGCGGCTTTTATCCCGAGTACTACGAATGCACGATGCTGACATGTACTCTGAGCCTGGTAGATGAGAATGACTGGTACCTTTACCTTCCGGAGTGCATTTCGCCGTTGCGATTTCCTGTGCGTTGGCTTGTTGATCGGCTCTGGGATATTCATCTCAAAACTACATAGCTGCCACAGTTGCAAGATGACAAGAAGTTGCCGTGCGGTACTATGACTGAATGAGAGAGAACCGACTGATGGAGGATTAGGGTGGGGAAAGCATTTGTTGTCATTCCACGATCTGATATGGGATCTTACCTGTCAGCGGGAAGTAATGATTTTTTCTAAAAAAAAAAGGGTAAACTGTCGACAGAACCTCGAGGCTTGGCACAACTTCAGAACACGTAGCATGCCTGACCGATTCAATTTGGAATTCTAGTATGACATCTTTGATGTATGTGTTTAATGTAAAATGTAATTGCATTTCTGCTTTCTCCACTACTGAAGGAGAAACTTTTGTTAGCAGTAGAGCTATCCGAATTGGTTAGAGGATGGTTCTTGATAATGTTGCGATCTTCTTGTGAAAGTCCCGCCACTTTGATGGTATAAAAGACCCTTAAGTTAGTGCGAAAAATTGCAAAGAGTGGGAAAGTTACAGGGTGGTATGCTAATTTTACCACCAAACATTTTCTTGGCCAAAACAAATGACTAAGCATGGAGCTTAATTGATTTTCGATTTGATTGGTTTATTCATTTCCACTGACGCTCCCTATTCGGGTTATCTTTGGACGTATTCAATTACATGTACGAGCTTAACTGTGCCAAGCGCTACTCACTACCATTAGTGAGTGCGCCACAGCGTACGGAAAACCACACCGTACAGAAAATATTATGAAGGTTAATCGCAGCTGGTGCAAATGACAACTGGCTTGATGATATCGGGAAGTACGTCTCGAGAAACCTAAGTGCCGCCAGGGATAATATCTGTCTGACCCGTTTTAAGTAACCCGATGTATACGCTGCTGGACTGCGCGCTAGTATCCACAGCCATGAGCGATGGCTCCTCGTTCGAATTTGCTAAATATTGTGGGATGATTGCTGGTCTTTTCGGCAGATCATTGGCCGAGGTTGGGAATGACTACCTAGGTAGTCGAGGATTTACAACACTTCATGAGGTCCTTCTACGAATCAATACCAGTCAATCATTGGAGGAGTTTCTCGACTCTTCATCTCGAGCCGGAGATATTGCCGCTTTGATTGACCAGCCAGATTATCATCATCGAACTCCTCTAACATGGGCTGTAGAATTTGGCTGGGTTTACGCCGTCCGAACCCTTCTGAAGTACGGTGCTAATCCACACAAAGCAATTCTCTCGGAACGCGGCAAATCTACTCTTCTACACCTGGTGCTTGCCGGTCCATGTTCTCAGTTTTCGAAAGGCGACTTCAATTCTGTTGTCGAGGTTTTGCTTGCAGAAGGCGTTGACATTAATGCGAGAGATCATGAAGGGTGGACACCATTGCATATTGCAGCATCATGGGGTTACATTCCTCGAAGGCTCGTGGATAATCATGGACTTAATTGGAATGTCTTGACGTACGATGGTCGGACAGTAGCTGATTTATCGCCCGGCAAAAATGCTTGTAATATTTCTGTAATTTAGTCTTCCACAAGAGCCAATAACCCGAATGTTCCATCTGTTTTGCTTTCCGTGTATTGTCGTATAATGTAGCGAGCAGACCCGGTTAGAATATCTTCACCTTCGGCCAGGGAGCCTCGGCTTATAGGTCCATCGACGTCACCATCCAGCTCGTACAATCGGTTCGAGTGTGTAACAAAACATATGTAATGGTGATCCACTTCATCTTCGGCGATGGGGACGGCCGAAACCCCCTTTTTCGCAGCCTTCGTATAAGCCCTACAGACTTCTTCCGAGTCTTCAAGATATTTAGTACGGTTGGGCGGTGCAAGTTTGGTTAATTGGTGAAGCGCAGACTCGGTTTCTGTGTGGACTGTGAATTTCTTTTCCCCCTTTATTAATGCGAACGAAAAGCGAAGCAAATCACGTACTAATGGAACTGGGCACGTTACAGACGGCGTGTAGGATGGCGTAGAGGCCACATGCATTGTTGATCGTCTGCTTTAACCAAACAACTTCTTCCTCAGCTCGGTTTGCGATAATTTGACCTTCAATCGTACGATGCTCGTACGCGGGGCAAGACGGGAGGATTAGGATTAGTGCAAGGACAGGGCGCTGAACAAGGCGCAGCTCTTCTTCTTCAAGTGAGCAGACATCAACGAATTTGAGAGAACTAGACACGCCCAAGTCATGCATCAACTCGGTAAATATCTCTGGATCAGACTCGAGAGGAATATAATGCTTTTTGTAATTCATACTGCGCTTTGCTGGACCAAAAATGGCTACGTCTAAAAGAAAAGAAAATGGAAAATGGACAAATGTTGGTTTGGAAGGCGTCAAAGAGCCAAATGGTGAGGGGTCATTCTCACGTGACAATCCACTGCGTCAGGCTCTAGTAAAAGTCGACGCCTATTTCTCTTTGGTGCAAAGTCCCATATTTGCTTGGCAGCTTAAACTGCATTGCCATTTGCCCCTAATTAGCGACGGGCTAGGAATCCCGGATAAGCACTCGGGCGTTTTCCTGTGTTTCGAATCTGGTCGAAAGAACTCGTATAGTCTCTGAGCTCGGATTGTGTTTGCGCGGATAATAGAGGCTTGCTGTGGTGGAATGTTCCAGATGTGGGGGCTAGCCTAGACTGGAACTGAGGAAGAGAGGAACCGCTTTCCAATTCAATCAGTCGACAATTTTGGGAACAGAAGTCATCACCATCAGTCTGCCGGTCGCAGGACAGACAGTAGTTCGGGCACCAGTCTGTGGACATTGGAAGAAGATTTGGAGTTTGCGGCTGGAGAAGATTAAAGGATTGTCATTTTTCGTTGAGAGCCTCTCATATGTCATACTGACGTCAATGCTTCATCTTTTTTTAGCTTAGGGCGTTTTTGACTTAAGAAAGGCTGCTGCCCGCTGCCCGCTGTAGGAAGGCTTCCTGCTTGGGGGATATCATTCTCCCCGCTGGATCAAAAATGATGATGATGATGGTAAAATACAATAAAGATCAAACAGTTCCTCAAACCAACAGGTGCCTGGAATAGCTGCTGGAGACCCACCAATTACAGCGCTACCAGGTAACGAGCCTGATGGGCAGATTTTGGACGCTATCCGGGGTAACCCTTGCAGTGGAGCTGATGATATCACTCAATCAGTCGCCCTTTTTGCGCATGGCTGCGTTATTCTACACATATCGTGCAACGGGACGACACGGGAAGAAAATATTTACCTAGTGGCAGACCGCTGTGTGAGGCCTCTGATTGTATATTACCAGGACTTGGAAAAAGTCTAAAATTGAGTTGCACTCGAAAATATCGAGGAAGAGGTGAGTATGCTGAGGTAAGCAATCCCAAAAAACAGGCTAACCGGAATGTTGACCCATTGCCTAGGAGTCACAAGGTGGGGCAAAAGTTGTTCATCTGGACTACTTGCGCAGCCTGGTTAAGAAGATTCCGAAAGAGAAAATTATAAGTTCCTAATATTTTAACAAATTCACCAGAAGTCTACATAAAAAAGCGGAAATTTGCACCCTGATTTCAATGAGTGATGATACTAAAAAGCATTTGAATACACTTCTCTTTCTCATAGCCAGATGACTGCTCTTCTATGTACTCCTCACCATAGCAATCTCTCTACATGCGCATTCCTAATGTTGTCACTGCTGCTTTCCACAGTTTTCCTGGCCTGCAGCCCAAGCGGGTTGCATGGCTCTCTTGAATTGTGGCTCAGTCTAATATCACTATGTCAGTTAATGAACTTCAATCTAGGTTTGAATTGCAGCTGTATCTGATGGGTTTTGATCATCAACTTCAGAAACATAATATATGAAAATAGAATCCTGATGTCCGCGAGAATTACTGCACAGTCAAAGCCATCTAATTTATGAATATACTGTCTTGTATATTCTTCCAGCCTCTTCCAGATGTAGGCCACCTCTTCCTGACTAAGAGGTTTATACATTTGCTGAAAAGGCATTATCGGCCGGCTATCTGCAAGAGCTGTATGGATTGATTGAGTCCAATCCAGTACAGGTCTCGAGGGTTGGAGGTTCAGTGAATTTGTGGAAAGAATGATACAGATGGCTTCCCCGGCAGTGCTTTTTTCACAATGTACAGAACCATGAGCTGTCAATTCCCAAATGAGTGTTGCCTGCACTGGAGATGTTGGTCTCGTTGAGCCAGTAGAGCTCAGGGAGATGTTGTCCCGAGACTCAACAGAGCTCTGCTGCTGGGCCCTCTCAGCCATGATTGTTTCTTGGTCAATACTATCGTTGTTTTCTGCGTCCAGATGTCAGTTACAACCTGTTATTAATAGGATGATGGGAGTTTCTGTTGCACCTGTGGCAGAACTTAAACCACTGCCGCCTCTACTGTCCACTGAGTCGGTCTCTGATTCCTTGATCTTACAAGTTTGAGTTGTTCGGGTGCTCATGATGAAAGTGTAGTGTCAGATAGTTTGCAAAGCTGGAATGACCCCTGAGGAGAAAAGGGAAGATGAAGTGATAGAAGTAAAGTGGGAGAAGGGCTGGCTTTATATGCCTTCGGACCTACGCTGCCTCTTCCCCCCCCCCCCCCCCCCACAAGACAAATTGGGAGCAACTGCAAATAGGCCGCACCATGTATGAAATTTGTTGGCTAATGAAATAGGGACTGGTTTAGAGATTGCCTTCCACACTTCCTGTTGATGTGCATCTAGAATGGGGTTTATAAGATAATTAACTTTCATTTATCAAACTGTTCTGTATGGAAAATGCAAAAGTATAGACAATCAAACATGATTCATACAATTTAAGTGATGTTTACAAAATTTGACCAGCTTCTATCACTGATTGAGCTACAGTATAAAATCAGCCAAGGCGGATCTTGCGCCTGATACAAGATGAACTTATCAAGATTCAGCATTAAAGCAGTGTTATCATCAAATACAATTTACTGACAGAGAAATGTAAAGCAGAAAGATAGAATATTTGTCTCAGTTCATCTTGTGAGAATGTCAACTCAGAGCTAACATCTCATCAGATAAAACAGCAGAGAGCATCTCAGATTGATCATTAACATCAAACTTTTCATTATACAAGTATAAAACTGAGATGCAAGAATGCATCAGGTTGGCCAGACTTTCACAGTGAATCAAGCATTCTGAGCCTGAGAACTCTCTGCAAGACTCTCAAAAGAGTCAGTGAGGTTGGCAATTGCATGTACTCTGACATAATTCTTCAGTTTTTCTCTTTCTTTGCAGGCTTTAGCAACTCAGCTGTCTGCATCAGTCAATGCATCAGTAAGTGATGACTTGTGTTCATCTCAGATATACTGTGTTATATTAACAACTAGCATGTCTGACTGCTTCATGTTTTCTTTGCTAGCTTTAGATATTCTCATTTTGAAACATTCATTCATCGCAGGATTAAAATCAACATTCTCATTATTTATAAAGACAGGATCATATTTCATTCAAGTGAGTAGTATGTCTGACATATATTTATTCATAAGCACAGGCGATTCTGATTCAGAGTTGTATGAGAAGAATATCTCCTGTCCTTGCAGCTTCAGCTTAGAAGCATTATTCAACACAGTCTCTGAACACATGTCAGTATATACTCTCAGTTTCTAGTTGAGATATCAATTATCTTCATCTTGCTCAGAGCTGGCACACTCACCTGCAGTGTCTTCTGAGAAATTGAATTTGAAGGGGGTGAAATTCACCCTGGCTTCGCGAAGAGCTTCTATGAGTTCTTTTGCATCGAAATGCTGATACTCATCTTCTGTTGTCACACTCTGCTGAGAACTTTCATTGATAGAGATACATAAAGGCATTTGAGTCAGTGAGAGAGTAACAAGGAACTTTTCATTGAGCTTCATTGCTTTAGGCATTGTGATAGTTGATGAATAAAGAAGGGTTGAAAACTGAGTCTGAGAAACTAACTTGATAAGATCTGTGAGTGTCTTGAATGTCTGTTCATTGTCTCAGAATTTCAGGGGGAGAAATTGTAGTTTCTTATATATCATTCTGTCAATACTTTTCAGCATATATTCTTTCGTCACTTGAATCATGTGAGATAGAGAAGAAGCTTGCCCTCACTCTCTCAATTAAGAGATGTATAAAACTGTGCTGTAGAATACATAGTCTTAACTCTGTCAACTGATGTTAATCTGAAAACTTATCTAGACTGTTGATTTGAACTCAAGCATTCAGGTTTATCATTGTAAACTTCATGCTGTCTCTGAATGTATGAGATTAGATAATCAGTTGAGAAAAAATACATGTTCTGTCATAGCAGTAAAAATGCGTCACAAGCTTGCCAAGATGCAGACCTTAGTTCAGCATGAACAGTATAAATTGAATGCCAGATGTGTTGTCTCTGAGCTGCAGAAAACTGATCAGAAAGAGAAACTGTCTGAGATTAACAACAATCAGAGAAGAGAGTGTTAACACAACTTGTATTAGTGTCATAAAGAAGTAAGAGAATTAGAAGAATTAGAAGAATTAAGAGAATTAGATGAATTAGATGAATTAGAAGAACTAGAAGAACTAGAAGAACTAGGAAAAGTTGAAGAAGTAGAAGAAGTAGAGAAACTAGAGAAATTAGAGGAACTAGAAGTAGGCGAAGAAGAGAGAGGTATAATAAATCAGCCACATCTGATGACTTAGCTCAGAGTTTCAAGATGAGGTCAGGCGATCTTACTTTCTTAAAGTTGATTAAAATTTCCTCATGCAGTTCGCTACAATAGATATTTGCAGTCAATACTCTTGCTGAAAGTTTTGATAAAGATTAATATAAGAGATGTTTTACTTTTCAGAGTTCTTAAATTGCTGATTTTCTCAGAGAGATTCAATCTCAGTTTGAAAATCAAAAAACAACTCAAATTATAATCACTGATTCAGTTTGATATGACAGGTACAGTAACAGAAGATATCTTGATATGTCTTCTTTTTGAAACTTTTTAATTCTATAGCTAATGTTTCTCAGAAAAGTCACTGAACAAAGCTAGTCATATTATCAGAATTCTTCAAGTATGATCTGAGCAAATATATCTGAGCAGAATTGAGTGAAAGAAAACTCTTCTGCTTCAAATGTGAGAATATCAACTTTCAAAATGAAGAAGAGAGCCGGATTTGAAGTATAAAAGAAAGTGAAGAGATACTTCTTTCTGCATATATTAGTGTTTACATTGTCAGAGGAAAATGAAAGATTGAATGATATAATCAAGTGCTGAGTGCAAACAAGTTATTCATTATCTCAAAGAACTCAATGAAGGCTAGTTACAGATGAAGAGTGCAGTGTTAAGATTAGTTATAATACACTTTTATAATAACACAGTCAGTTGTTTCATGAAGTAGATTATTCTTCTCTTATATTCATAGCTTACTCTTCTCAATAGCATTGCATATATCAGAGCAGAAGATGAAGAAGACACCTGAAAGAGACATCTTAAGAAGAGTAAAATATGCATTGTCTACAAAGTCTGTTAGTGATTTACATTGAAAGTTTTTCATATTCTTTCACTTACTGAGGCATTCTGGCATTGTGATGTGTTATATTGTAAGTACTGAGTGACTGTCTGAAGAGTGTACTTGAAGAAGAGAGAATAGTCTCTCACTTGCCTGCGGAAACAAATCACTGATCAATTTATTATTCAGTTCAATATTCAACATAAGATTGACATTCTGAAAATCTTCTTAAGAGAACTTCATTCTCACACTCTCTGTTATTAAATATGACTGCTCATACATCTGTATCAGAGAGCTCTTGATAGCATTGAAAATGCAGTTGCTAAAGAAATTATGAGCAGCTTTCAAGCTAGCTATAGAATATGCTTAATATTCATTACTGTCTGCACATGTAATAAGTTTCAGTTGTGAAAACAGAAAGTTTTTCAGTATCTTGTAGTTAGGCTTCAGGCATATATTATATCTTATAACTATACTCTTCAAGATGTTTTTAGCTCTGATGTTAAGATAAATACAATTCTCTTTCTTATGCTGTTGATAAAAGCAGAATACATTAAAAAATCTGCACGCTGTTTCTGAGATGATGAGGATAAAAGATAGAAAGATATTAGAATTCTTGTGTAAAATGTTCAAATAGATCTTTTGAGCTGTTCTCTGTATAGATATCAATTTAGATTTCTGCATTGTTCACCAGACTGTGCTGCATTGCAGCTGAGGTAATAATTTGCAAGCAATGACAAGACACTCTTTGAGAGCAGTAAGATAGCTTTCAGGAATTGTTTAACACTAACTCAGTTCATCTTTTGTGTAATAGATATAAGACCATGTTGATGAAGCCATAGGGAAAATACAAGTAGAAGAAGGAGAAGTAGAAGAAGTAGAAGAAGTAGAAGAAGTAGAAGAAGTAAGCCTCTTATTCATCCTCTTCATCATGTGACTGCAACCTAGGCATCAACGCAAGATTACATTGGCCAAGCAGAGGAGAAGTCGCGTCACTCAGCCTCCGAACATGATATCTGGCATTTGCTCTGGCCAATGAAGTTGAGACATGTGAATTGTTTTGCAACAGGTATGCAGAGCTATTGTGATTTGAAGCTATATTTAACTTTATCACCAAGCACAGAGGTGTAGAAAGTATGCTCTTGTGAACATTAGTTAACTTGTTCAGAGATGGTTCGGGGCTGTACTAATGCCTGCTTCAGGGCCAAAACCTCTATACATTGAGAGAGCGGGCTGAAGCAACTTAACCCTGGTACTGGAACTTCAACATCATATTTTAACATGTGCAAGGATTCTACACCATCATTTTAGAGTGAACAGGCCCCGAGCGAAGATAGCACACACAAATTCATTCTCTTTTGACTTAGTGCCTGTGCTGAGAAACAGCTTCGGCATTGTCGAGGCTCATTTATGAGTGATAAATGATGTTTACTTCCCCTTCTTTTCATTTAGGAATTTAAACACTCTATGACCATCATATGCCTTCATCACACGACTTTAGGCTATTCTGCAAGCGTCAACATCTTGAGCATTCTTTCAAAACATCACATCATCAGTTGAAGAAGCAGAAGCTCAGTCAATCTTACTGAGATAATCTATCAAAGGTTTGATTAATCAAGAGCATGATAAAAGAGTTAGACTGAAGAAACAGCTCTTCAGAATCATTTCAAAAGCTTCATAGACTCATCACTTAACAGTTTACTGAGCTAAAGCACTGTGAAACATTTTATTTTACTCTGAATATTCTCCGTGATTGTCTGCCTGATTGCTTAAAGAAGATAGAGAGGTTTTTAAGATTGAGAGAATTTGACGCCCTGAATAACCAGGCATATCAGCAGCTGATACTTGTTGTACCTGAAGTTTCCTGTTAGATGAAGCAGATGTTTTTATGGAAAAGAGGTCAGCATATCATGATGATCACAATCACCTCATGATCATTTTTCTTCACAAACTTGAATACTATAAAGAAATTCTCTTTCTCATAATCAACTGTCTGATGAAGTTTGATGAAGCAATTCTAAGCTGAATTCAATTGAAAGTAAAGTACAAAGATTTGATAAAGAAGTTCTGAAGAGAGATCTGAACATATTTTCTCTCAAAGACATCTACAGACAAAGAACCTCCTGTTGTTGAAGATTGTGATCTCAATCTTTTGAAATCAATGGTTCTGAATGACTGAGATGTGAGTTTCAAAAAATACCTGTGCAAGGATTTCTTCTCACGTGATTTCAAACTAGATCAAAAATCTCACGTCCATCACTCATGCGTTGGCTACGGTGCAGCAGAAAAATATAAACTCATACCCATCATGAGAGACCGGTTTTTACGGATCTCTCAGACTAATGATCTCTTTTCTCATTATATTTTCTCTTGGTAATCGCATCTGGTGATGACGCTGCCGGTTATAACACTGATTCTTGATGGGTCGCTTTGCCCACCTGCTGCAGGGCATGCGCCACTGGATTTTCCGTAGTACATGCGTCATTTTTTGTCTTCCTCGTTGGAACGTTCAATAATTTATGAAATTAGTTAGTTATGTAAATTTTCAATAGCCATACCACTGGGGGTTCGATACCGCAGCGCTCGATGTATGTCTCTGGACAGGTGTCTAAGGCTAATCAGACAATGGTTATAGTTCCGGGGTATGTTGATGAGCTGTATTTATTCTTGGGCCTCACTGTGAGAGACCGGTTTGTATGAATCTCCCCGGCGTCCATGTTTATGATAATTGTATCTGATGATGATACTGCCTGTTATAGTGCTGAATCTTGATTAGTTGTATTCTGGTGCAGTGTAAGAAATCCCGCTCCTCGCGGATCCTTTACCCCTATTCCTATCTCTCGTGTAACCAATAGGGCTAGCGGCCCTTGGCTACACACAACTATATAGACTGGAGTTCGCGAATACTATTCACAACTCAGCTTGAATACTATTATACACTTGATCTCTACATTTATCTTTCTACTGTGAACACTTCTAGTAGTTAACAGTACATATCATGTCAAGCTGCAAACACCTGAATAATTGCTGTGAGCACTTATTCTTACATTTCAAGCTCAGTCAGTCAGCAATCATCTGTTATGACTGAAAGAACTAGAAACTTGTATGCTTCAACCCCTGTGAACTCTACTGCAGACACTCAGGAGCAGCCACCTGAATCATGGATAACCTCTGTGAAAGAAGTCTCAGAGAACTTATCAATCACTCATGAGACATTATTCTCTGCATCTGTGACAGGAGAACTCTCTGAACTCATGAATGAATCAATCTCAGTGAAGAACATTCTTGAGCATCTTCTGCAGAATCAAGCTATTTTTCTACAAGAAATGCTTACTGTCTGTAAACACTCTCAAACTGAGTCTCT